ATATGTTTCTGGCATATTAAGGCTTTGCCTCTCAGTTCAAGGCCTCAGTGGTTCTGGGGCAGCTGGTAGGAAGCCAGGCTCCAGCAGTGCCTTGAGTTACTGCAGAAAGCAGAGCTTATCTCTCAAACTCTGGCATCTCCAGCAGAAGCCCTGGATAGCGGGGTCCCAGGGCTGGTCTCAGGTCAGTAGGGGCAGACAGCAGCCAGGTGAAGATTGTTCTGAGTTCTTGGAGGCAGGTTTGCATCTCATTTGTCCAGTTTGGACCAGTGAATTCCTGGTGCCATCCTAGAACTTTCTGCAGACTAGGTGTTTGGGTGGTCAGAGGGTCAGATTGATTTGGGAGTGGCAGGTGAGGACTCGGGATAGAAGATGGTCTTTCTGGTTGGAAGAGAGGCATGGTGCCGTGCTGGGGCTTGGGGATGAGCTGCCAGTGGGTGGCGGACAGGAGGCCTCAGCTGGGAGGCCAGGCTGCTCTTGACTGAGCCAGGAGCCACAGTAGCTGCCCAGGCAGGAGGGATTTGTGGGTGCCACAGCTCTGGTGGGTGCACATTTGTTAGGGAGAAACAGTATCCAGACCCAGGCACTTCCCCCTCTGGAGCTGCTGCCAGCCAGGGAGGGCGAGTCTCTTGGCAGCGGAAGGCAGGAATAGCTCCTGGCCTAATGGCGGCCAGAAAAGAAACTGCAGGAGGATATGGGTTTGTTGTGGAAGAGGTGGGGCCTGAAGCCCTGAGGACCAAGAATCCTGCCCTCAATTTCTGATTGACACTGTTGACTAAAGGTGACTTTTTTCATTGGTGGAGGAAGATTCGTTCCTCAGCCTCCCGCGTCACTGGGATTACAGGCGTGCGCCACCCCACCTCGCTAATTTTTATATTTTTTGGTAGAGACAGGGTTTCGCCATGTTGGCCTGGCTGATCTGAAACTCCTAACTGCAGATGAGCCACCCGCCTCAGCCTCCAAAGTGCTGGGCTTGCAGATACGACCCACTGTGCCTGGCCTCATTTGTTAATTTTAATAAGCGTTGAGACCTAATTGGGACATCCTTGATGTTTTCACTGAGAACCATTTATCCAAAACAAGACCTGAGCACTCTCACTGAAAGTATTCAGAATATGCTCTGAATTGAGGCTTTATTAAAACTCAAAATGAGCAAAGAATTTGAGCAGTCATCTGTGAAAATGCCAAGGGAGGGTTAAGGGGATTTGGCTCCACCCCTTGTCTCCAATAGCCCCTTAAATCCAGCTTCCCAACAAGATTAAGAAGCCTGTGTAAAGGGAATAAAAATACCTTCATAAAACTGTGGTTTTCATTGATCTGGGGACAAACACACACACACTAACAGTTTGCTTACAGTACTAATACAGCTTCCAGTAAAGCCTCTGGTCCTCCCCTCCTCCCCCTTTCTAATCCCCTCAAGCCGATTGATGCCCCTAACTGGTTTCTTTTAAATTGTTCATCCCAATAGGCTCATTCTTCCTGAGCAGTTCTTGTGAAAACAAAAGCTTTGTTTTTTCTTATCTTTTTTTTTTTTTTTTTTAAGTCTAGCTCTCTTTCCCTGGCTCATGGCGACCTCTGCCTCCAGGGTTCAAGCGATTCTCATGCTTCAGCCTCCGGAGTAGCTGGGATTACAGGCATTCGCCACCACGCCCAGCTAATTTTTTTGTATTTTTAGGAGAGACAGTGTTTCACCATGTTGGCCAGGCTGGTCTCAAACTCCTGGCTTCAAGTGCTGGGATTACAGGCATGAGCCACTGCGCCTGGCCTATCTGATAAATATTTATTAAATAAACATGTGCAGTACATAGAAGCATTTCCACATGTGTGTTTATTGTGTTTATTTTCTCAAAAACAGGATCTTATTCTACATGCAGCTGGCTTTTGTTACTTCACAATGTGGCTTGGGCATCTTGCCCTTTCAGTATATATACATGTGTTGCATATTTTAATGGAACTGTGTAGTGTTCTATTACGTGGGTGCACAGAATGTGTTTTCCAAATCCTACAGTGATAGCCATGCAGGTGACTTCTAGTTTTTGCTATTATAGACAATGCTGTTGGGACCTTCTTGTTACCTCTGTCCTTGCCTACCTATGCTTTTCTGTAGCGGGTATCCCTGGAAGTAAAATTGTTGCAGCAAGGGCCATGCACATTTGACTTCCAAATTACCCTGCAAAAAGGTGGTTTTCCAGTTTGTATTCCAACTGGGAGTGTCAGGTGGGGCCTGTGGAATAATGCTGTGACAACCCTTTACTGCTTAAAACCTACATTGGCACTTCAGATCTTTTGTTAAGTCCTTAGTCTGGTGTCAAATTCCCCAAAGGGTGTCCCTCATCTGTCTTTATAGCTTTAACTGTTATTGCTCTTTTTTTTTTTTTTTTTTTGGAGACGGAGTGTCATTCTCTGTCACCCAGGATGGAGTGCAGTGGTGTAATCTCGGCTCACTGCAACCTCTGCCTCCTGGGTTGAAGCAATTCTCCTGCCTCAGCCTCCCAAGTAGCTGGGACTACAGGTGCCCACCACCATGACTGGCTAAGTTTTTGTGGGATTTTTTGTATTTTTAGTAGAGACAGGGTTTCACTATGTTGGCCAGGCTGGTCTCGAACTCCTGATCTCGTGATTCACCCACCTCGGCCTCCCAAAGTGGTGGGATTACAGGCGTGAGCTACCATGCACGGCCATCATTGCTCTTATAAAGCCTCTGTGCTTTATAAGCCCGTGGTTTTTAATCAGGGTAGTTTTGCCCCCCCGGGGACATTTGACAATGTCTAGAAATATTTTGGTTGACACGACTGGGAAGCGAGTGCTGCTGGCCAGAGGTGCCTCTCCATATCCTACAGTGCACAGTGCAGCCCTCATAATGAAAAGTTATCTGGTCCAAATGTCAATAGGGCAGAGGGCGGTGGTCAAGAAACCCTGCTGAGCTATCTTCACTGATCTCAAAAATCAGTTGCTACTTGCCTGCCTCTAGCCAAGGATGGACAGTGGGTTTTATCTAACGTGTCACCGCCAATCCCTCCCTATGGGTAGCTAGTGAGCTACCTTGAGGATTCTAAGGCCTTGCCTTGGGTTCACTGGGGGGAAATGCTACACGGACCATTTAACAAATTGTAAAGTCACATTCCAGCAGGACGCTTTTGTTTTCTTTGTATTTTCCAGGGTGCCTCATGCATAGTTCTTCATACGTAGTTGATTATATGAATCTTAATGTTGCCTGAATTACAGACACCTTACGAGTGATTAGAGTTTTGTAGGAGCCAGCTCTCCTAACCTGCACTGTTGTTTACCTGCCATTTGTCTTCAAGCCAAACATTTATATTTTCTGGTATTTATTTCATATCCTAAAGAGCTTTGAAATCCTAATAGGAGGTGATGGCTTGATGTTTACTGCATTGTCTTCAAAATGATAGTGGAATGAATATAATTATATAGCTATCCATTGTAGAAGGCCGAGTGATCAAAAGGTCAGGAAAGATCAACAGGCATTGATTGCTTAGTACCCTACCAATTGGCACTTGGGCTTGTGCCTCTTATGGGGGGATTTTTTTTGTTTGGGCTTTTTGTTTTTTTGGGGATTTTTTTGAGACTGTCTCACCCTGTTGCCTAGGCAGGAGTGCACTAGCATGATCTCAGCTCACTGCAGCCTCTGCCTCCCAGGCTCAAGCAATCTTCCCACCTCAGCGTCTTGAGTGCTGGGACTACAGGTATGCAATACCATGCCAGGCTAATTTTTGTATTTTTTGTAGAGACAGGGTTTCCCTGTATTGCCCAAGCTAGTCTCAAACTCCTGGGCTCAAGCGAGCTGCCCACCTTGGCCACCCAAAGTGTTGGGATTACAGTCGTGAGCCACCGTGCCCAGCCATGGTCAGGGGACATTATTTAGGTCAATTTTGAAATCTAGGTGACCCTTTTTTTTTTTTCAGTTTGAGGGTACAGGGATTGGTCAGCTTTTTCTGTGAAGGGCCAGATAGTAAATATTTTAGGCTTTAGGGGTCATGTGGTCTGTGTCACTGTTATCAGCTTTGCACTTGAAGCTGGAAAGCAGCCATAAACAATACTTAAATGAAAGGGCATGGGTTGAATAAGTATGTGTATACAAAAGTAAATGCTTTCAGATAAGTGTGTATGTATAAAAGTATTAATGAATGGGTTCAGATAAGTCTGTGTAAAAAACAGGTGGTGGGTCTGTGGGCAGTAGTTTGTTGAACCCTCTAAAACCATCAATATTTGGATATTTGACTGATGAACCCTACTTTGCAAGTAAATGATGTTGAAGGCTGGGGCGGTGGCCTCACACCTGTAATCCCTGCCCTTTGGGAGGCCAAGGTGGGCGGATCATTTGAGCCAAGGCGTTCAAGACCAGCCTGGGCAACCCGGTGAGACCCCATCTCTAAAGAAAATACAGGCCAGGCGCAGTGGCTCATGCCTGTAATCCCAGCACTTTGGGAGGCCAAGGTGGGCAGATCACCTGAGGTCGGGAGTTTGAGACTAGCCTGGCCAAGGTGGTGAAACCCCATCTCTACTAAAAATGCAAAAATTAGCCAGGGGTGGTGGCATGCGCCTGTAATCCTAGCTACTCGGGAGGCTGAGGCTGGAGAATCACTTGAACCGGGGAGGCAGAGGTTGCAGTGAGCTGAGATCATGCCACTGCACTCCATCCTGGGCAACAGAATAGTGAGACCTTGTCTCATAAAAAAAGAAAATACAAAAAAAAAAAAAAAAAATTTGCCAGGCATGGTAGCACACGCCTGTAGTTCCAGCTACTCTGGAGGCTGAGGTGGGAGAACACCCAGACCTAGGAGGTCAAGGCTGCAGTGAGCCATGATGGTGCCACTGTACTGCAGCCTGGATGACAGAGTGAGACCCTGTCTTTAAAAAAATTTTTTTCAAAAAGAAAAAATAAATGGTGTTGAAAATGAAATCATGAGTATGATGAGTACCCTGTGCAATGATTGTCCTGAGAAAGGCAGTGATTCACAACTTTTCTTTGTCTTCCCTCGTAGAGATGTGGTATGGTGTGTTCCTGTGGGCACTGGTGTCTTCTCTCTTCTTTCATGTCCCCGCTGGATTACTGGCCCTCTTCACCCTCAGACATCACAAATATGGTAGGTTCATGTCTGTAAGCATCCTGTTGATGGGCATCGTGGGACCAATTACTGCTGGAATCTTGACAAGTATGTTAGACATTAAAATACCAGTCAAAAATGTTTAATATGACTAGTCAATTTCACGACCTATTTTAGAAACATATCTGAGTAGGATGAAGGAAAGAGTGACGTTTAACCACAAGTGTTTTTTTTTTGTTTGTTTGTTTTTTAAACACAGGTCTCCCTATGTCAGCAAGGCCAGAGTGCAATGGTCGCAGTCTTGGCTCACCGCAGCCTCGACCTCTTGGGCTCAAGTAATCCTCCTATATCAGCCTCCCAAGAAGCTTGGACTACAGGGGTGTGCCACCATACCATGCGTGGCTAATTTTTTTGTATTTTTTTAGAGACAGGGTTTCGTCATGTTGCTCAGGTCTAGAACTCCTGAGCTTAAGCGATCTGCCCACCTCAGCCTCCCAAAATGCTGGGATTACAGGCATGATCCTCTGTGCCTGGCCCAGTTTTTTTAATGTATTGATTTTTTTTTCCACCCCCAGGGCCCTATTACTTGGCTAACCTCTTTGACTTATTTAGTCAGATTTCATCTCAGTGGCTTCAGGGAAGTCATGTTAAACTTTGTGAGATATATCTTGTGAGAGAGGCCACCAGCAAGAGGAAAATTTATCTTTTCGGAAGACCTTTCTGATCAGCTATCACTTGAGCATTGGCCCTGCAATATAGTTGGTGAATTACTTCCACACATGTGGGTGTGGTTGCTGTAAAGATAGGAGACAAATTCTGATGACAAGAATTCTTTGGTAGATGTAGTGGCTCATGACTGTGATCCCAGCACTTTGGGAAGCAGAGGTGGGAGGCTTGCTGAAGCCCAGGAAATTGAGACTAGCCTGAACAACACAGCAAGACCCCATCTCTACAAATAAGAATAAAAAATGTAGCTGAGTGTGGTAGTGTGTGCCTGTGGTTCCAGCTACATGGGAGGCTGACGTGGGAGGATTGCTGGAGCCAGGAGGTCCAGGCTGGGCTGCCGTGAGTCGTGATCACACCACAGCACATCAGCCTGGGCCACAGAGCAAGACCTGAGGGGGGAAAAAAAAGAATTCTTGTTTAGAAAAGTACCCGGTTAGTGCTCTGGTTATTTTTTTCCCCTTAGGACTTTCTGAATAAGAATTGGAGTAACATGATGTTATGAATTATTTTCAGGCCTGTTTTTGGGGCATTTGTTTTGTTACGGCTTTTGCTTATGGTATAAGACACAGTTACAGAAATGAGAACAATAAGTTTAAATCATTTTAAAGCTCATACATAAATATAAATGTGTATTTTATATAAACTAAAAGTTCTAAGTAATTAAAATGTAAAATCCTCCATTTTCCCATCCCTAAATAATAGCCACAGTTTACATCGTGGCGTGTATTTCTTTTTTTAGGTATAGATGTAAATATAAACATATTCTTATAATATAGAAATGTAATATTCCTACTGATTTGTAACTTTTTTTCACTGTGAATTGAAACCTTAGCATCAAGCAGAAATCATTTGCCTTCTGTGTGTTTGACTTGAGGTTTTTTTTTTTTTTTGAGAGAAAGTGGCCTAGTTTCTCTGTGTTCTAACTGTGTCACCTACTGCTTCTTTGGAGACTTTATGTCCCAGGATGACTGGCTCCTAGGGCCTGTCTTTGTTTGTTCCTTAGTAAAATAGGGATGAAACTACCCACCTCATACCCTTGCATGATTGAGCCAATGTGTATATGATGTACTTAAACATGATCCCTGACACATAGTAATTGTCAAATACATATTGTATTCATTTCTGTCTTTAAGGCTCTATGAATAATCTGTTCCCTTTCCATTTGCTGCTCCCTTGGATATACTTTTTCCTTTCTTCACTTCATTATCGCAATCCCACTTTAGGGCCCAGTTCAAGTTCCTTAAGCTTCTTTCTACCCAACCCACTCTTTCTGTGTTCCTAAATTTTGGAGGGGCCCAATGAAACATGTCTTTCAGATTAGTAACAAAATGTATGCATTGCCAGTGGAAGTGGGCATTTTAAATCACTAAATGTTCAAGGCAGCCAACCTTTGGTTAATACTGTTCTTTCTTCTTGTTAAAATATGTTAATATACCTTTATATCACATTTATGAAATGTGCCAGGCATGGTGGTTTATGCGTGTAATCCCAGCACTTTGGGAGGCCAGCTTGTGATGATTGCTTAAGTCCGAGTTCAAAACCAGCCTGGGCAACATAGTGAGATCGTGTCTCTACAAAAAATAAATAAATAAAATAGCCAGGCATGGTGGCATGTGCCTCTAGTCCCAGCTGCTCAGGAGGATCACTTGCACCCTGGAGATTGAGGCTGCAGGGAGCTGTGATCATGGCACCGCATTCCAGCCTGGGCGAAAGAGTGAAATACTGTCTCAAAAAAAAAAAAAAAATTGTAAACATGTGATTGAGACACTGTATGTTATTTTGAATTATTGCAAATCTGTTTCTGTCTTGTGTCCCCAGCTAGATTCCAAGTACCTAGAGAATAGGGATCATACCTTATAAAACACAGAAGTGTTCTGCAGAAGAAAATTTGAGTGAATGAACACGCTATGACCAAGGAGAATTTTATTTGGTGCATTTTGTGGGGGAAGGTCATATGGGAAATCTGGATCTATTCTTTTCTTTTTAAAATTTTTATGATTTATGTATTTTTATTTGAGAACAGGGTCTTGCTCTGTCACCTGGGCTGGAGTGCAGTGGCACAGTCACAGCTCACTGCAGCCTTGACCTCCCAAGCTCAAGTGATCCTCCTACCTCAGCCACCCAAGTAACTAGGATTACAGACACGTACCACCATACCCAGCTAATTTTTCTATTTTTTGTAAAGACTAGGTTTTGTCATGTTGCCCAGGCTGGTCTCAAACTCCTGGGCTCAAGTGATCCTCCTACCTCGGCCTCCCAAAATGCTGGGATTGTAGGCTTGAGCCACTGTACCTGGCCAGATCTTTTTTTTTTTTTTTTTTTTTGCAACGGGATCTGGCTCTGTTGCCCAGGTTTGAGTGCAGTGTCGCAATCTCGGCTCACAGTGACCTCAGCCTCCTGAGTTCAAGCAACTCTCCTGTCTCAGCCTCGCGAGTAGTAGGGATTACAGGCGCGTGCCACCACACTTGGCTAATTTTTTGTATTTTTAGGAGAGATGGGGTTTCGCCATGTTGCCCAGGCTGGTCTCAAACTCCTTAGCTCAGATGATCCACCCACCTCGGCCTCCCAAAGTGCTGGGATTACAGGCGTGAGCCACTGCGCCCAGCCGGATCTGTTCTTTCCAAACAAATGAAATGTTAACTTTCTTGGTACAATGCTGAACTCCTGTAGTAACTTAGGTGGGTATCTGCATAGATACAGGGGTTTTTGTTTTGTTTTCTCAATTTGCGGGATGTTATAGTGACTGACATAATAAAAACAATCAATGACTTGGGAAACAGGAAGGAATCCCTGAATCTCTCCTCTCATGCCCTGTGAATTAATAACAATATGACTTAGAGTCCTCCTGTCTTCCCTTCTCACCCCTCTACTCCCTCCTCCATCATTTCTTGAAGGGAACTATGAGTATGATGGAAGGTGGCGCGGGGGTTCCCTGTGGCCTGAAACATTTCTTGCTTAGTCTAACTCAAAAGACTATTTTTCATTTGTTACCAAAAATGTAGTAGATCCCTGTTAAAGGCTAGGCATGGGGTAACTGGTAGGGGAATACACAGATATTTTTGAGTTCATAATCCGGTCATGTGGGAATTGCTATCTTTGTGATTTTGATTATTTCTTCTAGATTATTTTATTCAATGAATCTAGGAGACTCTTGGTTTTAAGGAGTGAGCATCTAAAAGTGATCTGCAAGCCATGTAATGAATACTCAAAGCCTAGAGTAGTCCACAGAAAGAATAGGGAAGACCTAACATTTCTGTAAGATTTAGATTTCAATATAAAAATCTGCAACATTCTACTTATAGTAGTATTTTAAATGTTGTATTTTCATGAGTTTGTTAATCTTGGTTTTTTGTTTTTGTTTAACATTCTTGCATTTTAAATCAGGTGCAGCTATTGCTGGAGTTTACCGAGCAGCAGGGAAGGAAATGATACCATTTGAAGCCCTCACTCTGGGCACTGGACAGACGTTTTGCGTTGTGGTGGTCTCCTTTTTACGGATTTTAGCTACTCTATAGCATACATCCTTATGCTGAGATGTTGAACCTAAACTTTATGGAATCCTCCAGAAGAATACATTATGGAGTGTAGTGTTTTCTTAGTTCTTCAAAGGGAAGCAACTTGGATGAACAGGAACGTGAAGAACAACATCTCAGCCTTTTCTTCATTTTGAAGCTCCTGGAATTGAAGACTTATGTGGACTCCTATCGTTCTCAACCAAAACAAGTCTTTTGGCTTTCTTTTTTGTAGATATTTAATTTAAGCAGTTTTCACATGTACCTTTACCCAAGCCAAGTCAACAGTGTCTCGGGTGGCATCCTTTGCACTGAAATTTACAGTATTCTGTGAGATGTCGCATATTTTGAAGAAACTATGGAAGATACTGGTTTATTTCAAATGAGCAGAGTATGTTGTATTAAAATCTTACCTAATCTTGATTAAAATTTGGCAAACTCTTTTCTTTACTAAATCTTAGTGACAGTAAATGCCAAATAGGTTTTGGTTAAGTATAGTTTTAAAAACAAATTTGGTGAAATAAAACAGGAAAAAAATTTTAAGTATAACTCAAGTAGAGGCTTTGGTTCCACTGTTTAAAGAAAAAGTAGATAACAATGAATAATGTGACATTTTTTGGACAACTGTCTTGACCTCTGATTAAGATATTTTAAGAGATGTGAATTTGTTATTTTGTATGTTTTATCAAAATAAGCTAGCTAATTTAGACTTTTTAGAAGATTTTCTGTACCACCTTTCCCTATCACTTTTCTCTTAATTTTATTCCATTTAATTGGAAACATTCCTACCCTATTAAATGGCTTAAGTTGGAAATTTTAAGCCAGATTGGTTTGGACATTGAGGCACAAATAAGATACTTTAAGCATTCTATCACAGTTTTTCTTAGTGACTTTGGTATACTAATGACCCTTGAGAAACTATAGAAGTGCATCTGAAACTAGAGTTAGTGGTTATTGATTTTTTAGCTTAATATGTTTACCTGGTGGTGACTCTTCAGCCCACTTTTACAGTATTGGGTATCAACTCCCAGAAAGTGCCTAAAATTTAATGTTCAGATATGCACCCCTCTCCCCTTTACATTTTTATTCAAAAGAATTTATACCTTTAAAGAGATTTAAATATCAAGAGTTTTTTAAAACTTAATTTTAGCTATTTAAATTTTTATTCTACTGCCTAACTTTCTTTTTCATTAAAAGGCCTGAAAACTGTGACTTTTTGAAAGGGAAAGGATCACAGAAATGAAGTATCTAATGTGATCCTTACCACCTAAACTGTTTTGTATGGAATACAATCAGTGTGGTGGTAGTGGTGGTGGTTATCTGTCTTCAAAATAGTTTCTGGTAATTAAATCTTTTTTTTTTTTTTTTTTTTTGAGACGGAGTCTGACTCTATTGCCCAGGCTGGAGTGCAGTGGTGCAATCTCAGCTCACTCCAACCTCTGCCACCCGGGTTCAGGTGATTCTCCTGCCTCAGTCTCCTGAGTAGCTGGGATTACAGGCACCTGCCACCGCGCCCGGCTAGTTTTTGTAGTTTTAGTAGAGATGGGTTTCACCATCTTGGCCAGGCTGGTCTTGAACTCCTGACCTCGTGATCCACCCGCCTTGTTCTCCCAAAGTGCTGGGATTACAGGCGTGAGCCACCGCACCTGGCCATAAATCTGACATCTTTAAAGGAAAGTTTTCCTTGTGAGATTAAGGCTTAACAGCCCATGAGGTCACATGCACATGAACATATCTATTCCATTTAAAGCAGTATGCACTCTGGCTTCTGATTAAAAATAGCCAGTAGGAGAGTCTCCGAATCTACTGTGATTCTGGAGTCTGCCCAATTTGGAAAAAAAGAAAGAAAGAAAGAAAAAGTCAGGAGGACCAATTTGCCAGGGAAACTCATAGAAAAGAATTACGAAGAGATCACAAAAACTGGACATTTTCTTTTGACTAATTAGACCACTTATGGCTGGGCACAGTGGCTCACACCTGTAATCCCAACACTTTGGGAGGTCGATGTGGGAGGACTACTTGAGCCCAAGGGTTCAAGATTGGCCTGGGCAACATAGTGAGACCTCGACTCTACTGAAAAATTTTTAAAAATTAGCTGGGTGTGGTCCCAGCTGCTCAGGAGGCCAAAGTGGGAGGATCACTTGTGCCTGGGAGGTTCAGGCTGCTGTGAGCCAAGACCACACCACTGAACTCCAGCTTAGGCCACAGGGCAAGACCCTATCTTAAAATAATATTATTGGCCGGACGCCGTGGCTCAAGCCTGTAATCCCAGCACTTTGGGAGGCCGAGACGGGCAGATCACGAGGTCAGGAGATCGAGACCATCCTGGCTAACGTGATGAAACCCCGTCTCTACTAAAAAATACAAAAAACTAGCCGGTCGAGGTGGCGGGCGCCTGTAGTCCCAGCTACTCAGGAGTCTGAGGCAGGAGAATGGCGTAAACCCGGGAGGCGGAGCTTGCAGTGAGCTGAGATCGTGCCACTGCACTCCAGCCTGAGTGACAGAGCAAGACTCCGTCTCAAAATAAATAAATAAATAATATTGATTTTGGTAATTAACTTATCAAAACTATAGTGACATATACACAGGCAGAAACTTATGAGTTATAATGCAGCCAAATATTCTTACAGATTCCCTAACAAGAAGCTCAAATCTTTCTTCTAAGCAAATTGTAAAAAATTCTAGTTTTTTTGTTTAAAGAGCTGTGATTTTCAAAAGTATCCCTTCAGTTTAAGAAGTCTGGGGAATTGGTATCTTTTCTTATGGGAAATGATTTCTGTCATCTCTACTGAAGGATGCCTCTTACTGAAAAATGCCTGTTGAAGGAGTTCTTGCCTAAAACATTCTTTGGGTATAATTTCATACACTACATATATGGGCCAGTAGTTAGTGGGCACCTCCTCTTAAGTGCTAAGTTTTGAAATACTGATACATGATTAAAATGTTAGACATTTTTCACTAGAGGTAAGACTAATAATTAGGGCATTTTGAAAGGTGTCTTTGTTTCTGTTTCTTGTTTGATATATTTTGATTATCTATTCTTTTTAAAAACTTCACATATAAAAGGTATCTTCAAATTATTGAATGTTTCATCCCTCCCAGTAAGTGAAATATTCTCCAGTGAATAAATAAATATATAGACTTTAAAATAGATTGAGCAGTGTAACTTGAAATGTTTTCAGGGAGAGACTATTTGAATGATAGGGAATATCTTTGATTTTCTTTTTCTTTTTTATGTCTCAAATATATAATTATTTGGGGGTGGTCACTCAGATGGGAGAATATCGGCAATTGTGTTGAATATTTTACCTTATATAGTTTTGAAAATTTTTGCCAAAAACTGATATCTTAGAAACATCCTCCCCCCAGCTACGCTTTTTGTTTGTTTGTTTGTTTTGTTTTGTTTTGGGAGACGGAGTCTTGCTGTGTCGCCCAGGCTGGATGGAGTGCAGTGGCATGATCTTGGCTCACGGCAAGCTCTGCCTCCCAGGTTCACGCCATTCTCCTGCCTCAGCCTCCCAAGCAGCTGGGACTACAGGCACGTGCCACCATGCCCGGCTAATTTTTTGTATTTTTAGTAGAGACGGGGTTTCACCGTGTTAGCCAGGATGATCTCGATCTTCTGACCTTGTGATCTGCCTGCCTCGGCCTCCCAAAGTGCTGGGATTATAGGCGTAAGCCACCACGCCCAGCCTATGCTTTATTTTTTAAAAAATAAATGCAAGAGAGGGAGGGAGGCAGCCTCCTAACCATAAAAGCTGATTTCTTGATTGATTTTTTTTTTTTGAGATACAGTCTTGCTCTGTCTCCAAGGCTGGAGTGCAGTGGCTTGGTCTTGGCTCACTGCAGCCTCTGTTTCCCTGGTTCAAGTGATTCTCCTGCCTTGGCCTCCAAGTAGCTAGGATTACTGGCACCCATCCCAAGGCCCAGCTAATTTTTGTATTTTTAGTAGAGACAGGGTTTCATCATGTTGAACAGGCTGGTCTTGAACTCCTGACTTCAAGTAATCCACCTGCCTCGGCCTCCCAAAGTGATAGGACTACAAACATGAGCCATCGCGCTTGGCCTTGATTCTGGAATATGGGGTTTTGTAGTGAAAGCATTTCATGACAACTTAAGTTCATACACAAGAGCATCATGAATATTTTAAGAGAGGTGTCTGTGCTTTTTTTTGGCCACAAAATATTACTTCTTATGAAATGTTTACACTAGGTGAGGAAAAGTTCATTAATTACCTTTAAACCATTCCTTATTTTCTTTAAGATTTTAAATTGTATTTTGGCTTTTGCCTCCAGTATCCTTTCTGGTTGCTCTGGTTTGAATTAAGTTCCTATTATGCTGCAGCACACATCAACCTTTCCTAAGTGACCATTTCCTGGAATGTGAAGCGTCGGTGCCATTAGCAAACCATACGCAGAAATGTCCTGTACTTGCATTTATTTTTCGTGCACTCTGTAAGGCTGGTTGTGACTAAAATCAGCTTAACTTTTTATATTATGTTATTTCACTAATTGCTACAGTCAAAATGATCAAATCTTTGTACAATAGAAAATTATTTAAATTTTATTTTTCTACTGACATTTCTAATTCTAGTGTAAATGTTTATCAATAAAAAATTACTTTCAATTCTGAGTTGGAATTATATTTCTTTTTTGATGGCTAATGAGTTTAATCTTTTGTAATAAAATTGACTTCAGTTTTCATTTTTTAAATAATGTCTAACATGTTTAACTTTTTTTATGTTCTACTTCTTACTAATTTATGATAAAATTCTTATTCAAAGTTGTGATTAAACAGTACTTACATGTGAACGTGAAATTCTTATTAACTGCTTGCTGGGCCGTATATTCCCATCAAGAAGCTTTTGTTTGATTCTATGCAGGAATAGGTGAGTATTGATACAGGGTGTGAAAATGTATTATTTTAATAGTAAGTCCACATGAAGAGAAGCTTCGTGTTTGGTTAACACCCTTGGTGACATCATAAATCTCACTATTATGCCATTTTCAACAAATGAGACTAAGTTGGGTAGTTGACCTCATGGTCACAAGATTGCTGCAGTTTCAGCCATTGCAGACACATACAGTGAATGTCTGGCAGGAGATCGCCCATTCATTCCTTCTAATTTTCTAAATTGAGGTTTAACATGCAGTAAAGTGTACAAATCTTAAAATGTATAGCTTAATGTATTTTACATATATATATGCTTATGTGACTAACAGATCAAGAGACAGAATATTTGTAGCACCCAGAAAGATACATGCAGAGTTCAGCCAGAAGCCCCCAAGACTGTATATGTATCTGGGACCCGAAAGAGGAGGAATTTGTCTCCAAAAAATGGTGATAACCTAAGGTTGGACAGTGGAAAGAGACAGTGGAAGATGGGGACCAAAGATGCTGAGCTTGGCAGGGAAGATACCCTAAATTGCCAAGAAAACAGAACAGTGAGCCAGGAGTCTTGAGGGAGTTGGAGGGATTTGTGCTGTGGCCAAGTGGAGAGCTCTGTCCGAGGGAGTCAGCTATTGCTTGGCTCCAACCTGTTTCTGCTTTGTTCAATGATTAACCCAATCTT